GAGCCTAAGAGGACAAAATACTCAAGTCCTACTGAATGTGAATTTGAAAATCCCAGCCTAAGCTTTTCTGATAATTCTCTTACATTTCTCAATCCTTCTTTGAAGTGTTTCCCTTGCTTCTTACACACTTTTTGTAGTGTGTCCATTTTATTAAAGTACAGACTGATAAATATGGAAAGAAAGTCTGCTCTGTTTCCAGCTGTGAATGGGGATCCTGATGTTGCTGTACATGGAAGTTGTCTGCTTAATTCCCTTCACACTGCCCTGAAAATGCATCCTAATTGTCCAGTCAAAATAAACTATTGGTGCTATTGCATTTCAGGTTTTGAAAGCATTCTCCCCATCATGTTTAAGGGAAGAAAGAAGTGTTGAATCTCAGCTGTTTTGTTGCTCACACTTTCATTTTGTTGTTATAACTTTTCACCAGCAAATCAGTTATCATTTGGACATTAGCTCCATGCAGCAAAAAAGAGCCCAGACTTTTCTTCCACTTACTTTCTGTAGTCCCAAAAGCCTCCTTGAAATTGATGGACAAAGAAAAAAACACAACCAGATTATTTTTATTGACTGTTTTCAAGTCACTGGTCAAAGTGAGTGGTACTTGTTGAAAGCTTGTTTTCACTGCGCTGCAAGCAATGCCTGCTGCTTCTCATGCATTTGCCTCTGTGCTTCCTTCAGTGGATCCCTTAATAGATGTGACTCTCTGAATCAGTCTATAAAGTCCCTACCTTGTCTGCATAGAAGCGCCTTTGTCATGTTTTGTTAGAAGATAGCCCATTTTCCTCTTTTTTCAGCTGTGGATAAGGATTATTACAATTTCTAGCAACAGCAATTAAAGCTGCTGCTAATTAGAATGCATTCCTTTGGCACTGACTTGTAATCGTGTTGGTCATGGCAGGGTCCTAGCTGTGTCTTGATGAAAAAGTTTGTTCTTTGACACATTTTCACTCTGTGCTTGATCTACAGACAGGAGGTGTGCTTTTGACTTCTTTAGACCTTGGTTTAAGGCCATGGTGATATTTCACGTATAAATGCAAAATTCAGATGTATTCATTTCCTAGCAGTACTCCATTGTAGGTGGATGTATTAGATGACAACACTACTGAAGACAGATAGTATGACTGCTTTTCCTGTTCAACCCACTCTTTGCGAGTTAATCGGGTATTGTAATGACTTATTTTTGCATCTATTAATGTGAGCCAGAAATTCATACAAAGTTTAACATTTCCTTTTTTATCTTGGCATATTTACAGCACTAAAAAATACTGCTTCTTTTGTTATGACTCTTTGTGAGTCAGCCTCATTGGTAATATCAAAACATGGACAGGTCTGAAAATAATGCCCTGACTAATGGTTTTCAATAGAGGCAGAACATCTATTTTGTATGTTATTGGTAAAAAAATAGCAGATTTTTTTTTTTGTTACTAGTCAAACTAAGTACTGTAGCATCCTAATTTGAAGTGTGCTTGCACTTCTGCATACAGAGAGTTCAGTCATGTCTTTCAGTCCTTACACAGTCAAGTGAGCATATTTGCAAGCAGCACTGGTTTTCCATGAATTATATTACAATAGCTGCTTGTAGCTAATGCCAGAATGATAACTGGTTCATCAGAACGACATGCAGCTAGTCTAGTATAAACTGAACATGAATTCCAGGATATATTTTCAACCTAATTTCAACAATATCCAGATAAGTTTCAGCATGTTTTTCTAACAGGTCACTAGAATCCATTTAAATAGTTCATATTCTACGGCTTCTTTGAAGTTTTTAAGAGACTCCTGTAGTAGGATATGCATATTTATTTCCTCAAGACTTCTATTTCCCCCTCAATTTTAAAAATATGTCTGTGTCCTTGAGTAAACACTTCTGAATTGTGTTGGTTTTGTGTGGCAAGGTTTTG